TTGAGGACACTTTAGATGAAGTTCAATTTGAAGAATTGCTTGAGGAGTGGTTTGGGACATTTTTGTATTTTTTTGACAGTTTTGATCTCAACTTTCAGTTTTGTTGTCTTTTATTAAAATGTTAGGAAATGTGAAAACCATTGTCCTTCACTTTGACTTGGACAGTGCTTCCTTCCTTCCTTCCTTCCTTCCTTCCTTCCCTCCCTCCCTCCCTCCCTCCCTCCCTCCCAGCTCTAAAAGCATTCTCAGTCATTTGAGGCCATCCCCAGATAACCTAGAGCTCATGGTCTGGCTCAGCTCCTGTATCTGGTAGGCTGGGGAATGAGCCCCAGAGAATTATAAGTATGCTCTGGCTTAGTGTTTCTTTCAAATTGTCTCTGGTAGACTAGAGAATCTCTTCTTCAGTGTTTGGCTCAAGAATTTTATGAATAATTAGTATTGAAAAGTAATTTTAAAATAACATAAAAAACATAGTTCTGAATAACCTCATTTTCTATGCTTATTTCAGTGTGGATAGATTACAAATAGTTCTGGAACAAATACACCCCATAGACCTCATTTTGTGTGGCACTTCCCAAGGGCAGATATCTGTACATTCTAAGCCATTAGACATACCCAACTCATCCTCTGTTTCTGTATGGTCTGTGAGCTAAGAATTGTTGTTACATTTTAAATGGTTTTTAAAAATCAAAAGTATACTTTGTAGCATATGAAAATTATATAAAACTCAGATTTTTATGTCATATGTAATGAACTTTGGGGATGATGGAACATGCTGTGCTTATTTGTTTAAGTACTGCCTGGACTGCTTTGCACAATGAAGAAGGTTAGGGGACAGTGATTGTTTGGTCCACAAGGCCTAAAGTATTCACGTAGCCTTTTACACAGAATGTTTGCCGACCTCTGCCCTAGAGCAAAGCCTGAAATTAGTAGTTTCAAGTATAAACAGGATCTGCATTTTAACTTAAAAATGATCATACTAGATTATATAAGGCCATTTTATGCAGTTGTGCAATGTACTTTGCGCATATGGTGCACTTGCCTGCTGTCCTCTCCTTTCTTGTCCTTCCCTCACATTAGTCCCTTTTGTTCCCCTAAACAGTTTGACTTCTCCTTTCATGTCACCTGTACATACATGATTTTATGTCTTGAAGACCCACAAATGGGCACAAATGATTTTTATCTGAGACTGACTTAATTCACTTAATATGATTATCTTCATTTTTATCCATCTTCCTACATATGACATTACTTCTTTCTCTTTATGAGTGAAAAAAATTCCACTGTACATAAACCACATTTTAAAATCCATTCCTCCGTTGATGGATATTCAGGTTGATTCCGTAACTTAGCTATGTGGAAAGTGCTGCAGTGAACACTAATGTACAAGTATCTCTGTGAAATGTTGACGTAGATGAAGTCTTTGGGTAAATACCCACGAGTGATATAGCTACAATATGTGTAGGTCTGTTTTTTAGCTTTTGGAAGAACTTGCATAGAGAAGGGTTTACATTGTAAAGTGTGCTAGTGGGCATCCTCAGACTTGAAGCCCCACCTGTCTGTACTGCCTGTTCTCATCTGATTCTCTCAGCAGTCTCATAGGCCTTGTGAAAGATAAAGTTAGACCCGTTTTTAAAATTGCAGATACTTTTACTTCTAACACTTAGCAGATTTTCTTTTTTAACCTATGTCTGGTGAATTTAAGAAGGTTAAATATTTTCTAGCATGGATTTTGTTGACAGTAGTTGGTTTGAGAAATTCAACTGATCTTTCCTGAAGCAGCATTATTCTGCAGTGGTATACCTATGTGTTTAGGTCCAAGAAAGGGCCAGATGTGGCCACAAAATGTTTAGAAACCATATATTTCAAGCAACACAGTCACTGCTTTTAAAATCACCAAAAAACAACGCCTAAAACTGTAATGGCTGATTTATGCTGCAAAATAAGAAAGTTGCAATAGACAAAGTACTTACACCATTAGGAGTGAAGTTTGAGTTGCTTTTTGCAGCGGGGGGGGGGGTCAGGGTTAAAAACTGAAGAATGAAAGTTCCCATTATGCAGTTGTCATATTCTGTTAAGTAAAAAATACAGCTTTACCCCTGTTTAAAGGTTCTGACATTTCTAAGTATGAATAAAAGCCAGTATTTTTCATAGCAGCTATTTGTTTCCCTACACTTTGCGTGCGATCACTCAACAATTGAGTCAGATAGTTGCCACCTTTTTTTTGATTCTTGAGTCTGCTTCCTGATAAAGATGCTGTACAAACCAAATCTGGAATTTCTTCCTGGAATTTAAAAAAAGTTCCTGCAAAAAAAAAACCTATTCAATATAATTAAAAAAGTAGCAGTAGCTTGATATTATGTTACTGTTTGATTCCTTAACTCTATAGTCATTTTATAAACATTGGAAAATTAGGTCATAATTAAATTCTTCCCTCCTCCATGTACAGGGGACACATTGTAAGAATCAGAGTGGATGTTTGCAACCTTGGATAGCACTGAATCCTATATCTGCACTTTCCTGTATTTTAAGCTTTATAGCTGAAGTTTAATTCAAAAATTAGTCACAGTAAGAGACTAACAATAACTAGTAAACAGAACCATTATATTGTATTAAAAGTTATTGCTAGTATGTTCTTGCAACTTCTGCATTTAGAGATGTATTAGCATAGCTCTTATGGATTTCTTTTTCCTTCCTCACAATTTAAAGGTAGAGGATTTTTTCTTACCATAGATCTTAGCAACCTCAGCATTCACTGGACCGTTGTTAAGTAAATAAGGGTCACTTGAATACAGGTACTGTGATGCAATGATAGTTGATCTGCTAGCCTAGGTGACCACTTAGTGACTTACAAAGCTAGGCCATCTCTCGCCTGAACAGAGCAGGGCACTGCAAAATGATCATGATACTCAGAATGGTGCTCAGTTTGAAATTCAAAAATTATTTGCTTTTGAAATTTCCGTTTACTATTTTTTGCACTATGGTTGACTATAGACAAGTGGAACCATGGAAAATGAAACTGCAGATGATGGAGGGGATGACTAGAAAGTCTCTGCAAGATCTCTCTGAGATGGCTCAGTGGTTAAGAGCACTGACTGCTCTTGCAACCTGGGTGTGGTTTCCAGCACCCACCTGGCAGGTTACAGTTATCAGTAACTCCAGTTTCAGGGGATTCAGCACCTTCTTCTGGCCTCTTCAGACACTGCATGCATGTAGTTAATGTACATAAATGCAGACAATACACTCATACATATAAAACAAAAACAAATAATTTGGCTGGGCATGGTGGTGCATGCTTTTAGTTCTAGCACCTGGGAGGCAGAGGCAGGCAGATCTGTGAGATCAAGGCCAGCCTAGTCTGTGTAGCAAGATCCAGGCCATCTGGGGCTAAAGGGAGACCCTGTCTCAAAAAAATCAAGCAGAACAACAACAACAAAAAGATCTGTCTGCATCTTCTCAAGCCATGGCAAGTTTAATATCACAAGTGTGAAATTCCAAGATCTAAAGCAAGAAATATAAATACTTAACTTCCTGATAGCTGTTTTTTAGCTGTGTTCAAGGATATTGCTTGCCTATTGTAGCAAATTTATTAATTTGATGAGTTATGCATCAAAGAAAGATATTTTAAACATCAGAACTTATTACATATACATATATATGTAAATCACCTTCCAAATATTCTAAAGAAATATTTTGCTTGGAACAATTAATGAATGAAAATTTGTGGGTTATCAGTGGTAGTGGGTCAAAACTTGAAACTGAACTGTACTTGTTTATTAAACAGCTTTGAGAATGTTATATGTATGCATAGGTGTTTATATGAGTGTACAAGTATGCATATGAGTACCTCTGCTTGTGGAAGCCAGAGGGTTGATGGCAAATCTCCTCTTCAGTCATTCCTCTCATTTTTGAGATAGAGTCTCACTGAACCTGGAACATACTAATTTGGCTAGACTAGCTGGCTAGCTAGCTTCAAGGAACCTCCTGTCTCTACCTCTCCAGCTCTAAGATTACAGTTGGGTGCCACTGTGCCCACCTTTTTACATGGGTGCTAGGGGTCTGAACTCAAGTCCTCAGGGTTATGTGACAAGCACTTTACCAACTAAGCTACCTCCTCAACCCTAAACAATTTTTAAAAACATACAGTAAGTATCCTTTATATGAAATGTTTGAGATCAGAAGTATTTTGGAGTTTATCCCTTCCTGGATTTTGGAATCTTTGCATATACATAATGGAATGTTTTGGAGTTGAAATCCAAGTCAGTTTTGTTTCACATACATTATGTACACATAGCCTGAAAGCGATTGCATATATTTTTAGTGCATATATATTTTAGTTTTGACTGTGATTTGTCTCATGAAGTCAGGTGTGGCATTTTCACAGTGATTGACTTTGTATTTCTAAAAATTTTGTGGAAAGATCATAATATAAGAGAGTTCTTTTTTGTAGTGTGATTGTAGGGAGCCCACTGTGTCTGCTAAACTTCTGAAAGTAAGCCAGTATGCTATGGTGAGTTTCATATGTAAGCAGTGAGCCACTAAAAGCCTTGCACAATATTACAGCAATTCTGAGGAGAGGAAGTGCTTGGAATTCAGCAGTAAAACAGCAACAGCTATAAGCAGCCACAATGGTAGTAAAGATGGGGCAGCTTCACAGTTAGCATAAATCACTGAGCCGGTCAGTGAGCACGTAGCTTCCCATATTCTTGCCTCAGGGAGGCAAACCAGAACTCTTCAGTGCAAGATTCTTCTGGTTTCATATTTATGATGTCAGGTCATGTGACAATACTGTACCATAAGTTGCCAACTTCACTTTACTCTAGAGAAGATCCTTTGGTGCAGTGCTTCCCCCTCCTTTTTCTTTCTTTCCTTTTTTTTTTCTTGAAAGAGAAAAAATTGTGCAATGTATGTTTATGCCTACACCATGCCGAGGCGACACTTAGCAGTAAATAATTTCTGTATCCCCGAGGTAAGATACTGTTTCTGCTTTCCCTGCACAGTGCTGCTGCAGCACGGAGCTGATCCAAACATTCGGAACACTGATGGGAAATCAGCACTGGACCTGGCAGATCCTTCAGCAAAAGCTGTCCTCACAGGTAAGAAAACAGAGCTACCAGATGACATTATCTGTAGAGCTACTAGCTTGATTTTATAAAATTTTCATGTGCTGAGTATTTTTTCACTAATCAATCTAAAAAATACAATGTCACTATCTACTACTTTATTATTGACTGGATATTTGTCTTACTAATTGTGCTGTCATATATGATAATCTTACTACTTATACTACTTAGTATTATAGCATTAAATGATAATATGTTATTCACTCATTTTGTCATTTTTATGGTTTATATCACAGTTTTCCTGTGCCCTGTCTTCTCAGCTGTTTCTTTGTAAGTCCTTCGCTGTTGAACAGACAAGGGCATTTGAATTACTATGAAGTAGTTTTGATTGGAAAGACAACCTGCTGCCTTAGCACTGGCGCCTGGAGCCATAGCTCAGTACCCTGCTGCTCCCCTTCACCCTTTTATATTTTTATCACATTTTCACTTTTTACCGTGATAGCCAAGTGGTTTTTTTTTAAAAAAAAACTAGGGCAATATATTATCTCTTTACTTCAGATAATGGAGATTTGGGGCTTCTTGATTTTGTTAAAGCAGATGCAAGAACAAGCACAGAGGAAATGTGAGAATAGAAAGGACCTCTCCCAACCACACACAGAATTGCTTTTTAACTGATAGATCTGAGCAGCTGTTTTCATTGATCTTCATTTTCACTGAAATGCTGCATTGGATCTATTTTTGTTTTTATTCTCAGCATCTGAGTCCTGCTGCTTTTGCCCTTTCTTAGTTAACTGACCTTTGTAATTTAGAGCCTCTTTGTCACTGCAGTGATAACAGGATTGTTTTAGGTTGTATTGAAATAAGTGACTTTTAACTACCTTTTAAATTTGCCAAGTTTGAAGAAGTAAATCTTCTGTTGTCATTTAAGACTAGGAATCCATGCTGTGTACTTTTAGCAAAGATTCTGAGATGAATAGAAGATGTTTATATACAGAAAGCTTAAAAAATATATGGACTTTTACTTAATTACTCAGCATGGAAAGACAGCTTCCAACTATGCTAAAAATTGGTCATTGCTAAATCAGAGTAATATGATTTTTCTCAATTAATTAAAGATTAAATGATTGAGTTGCTGCACCAAGATAACATATACCAGAGGAACAAAGCTATTTAAATTAGTGTAGATAAATTAAATATAAATGCAGTTTAAATGATGAAATTAAAATACATAGTCTCAAGCCTGCTTAAGTTCTGAAACCTTTTCAAGTCTCTTAAAAAATCATGTACAGCAATAGTATCTTTAGTAGTCTCTGACCAAAGGAGAAATACAGTTCATAGAAACAGAGGTACAGTATGTTATAAATGCTGAGTAAGACTGTGTTTCTCACTGTCCTCCCTCTGACCTTTCTTCCTCACCAACTCTCACTGCCTGCCTATACCTTTGTTAGAGTCATTTAATGCATCATTGCTTTTAGATACGATTTTACTTTTTGAAAAACCATGTTTAGATATGAGCTATTAATATGAAGCTACTTCCTATTTTGTAATGGATGTCAGCAAGATTATTTTGGGGAAGAACTTAAGCATAATCACAGAGACTGAAGAGTCCTGGAGGACAGATACCATATCTTTTCAGTTGATTTGAAAGCCATCTAGCATTGCACTTTGCTTAGATAGGGAGACATTAAATTCTTGGTTATAATACTGATTTTAGTAATTGTTCTTTTTTTTTTTTCTTTAATGCCTGTTTTTGACACAACTTTTCAGATATAGTTTACAAGAAAAAGTCTAGTAATAGTTTTGTTGCAAATATAAGCTAGCTCTACTTACACATTCATGTTATATAATGTAATATCAGTGAAATAACACTTAGATGAACTGTTCCAGATGTTTTTATGCCCACGCAGGTTTTCTACTAAGCAATTCTTTCCAGTGGAATTATGGTAAAAGTATTATTTCTGAAGCTAAATTAAAAGGATTAAGCATTGGTTTTTAAATAGGGAGGTGGGCTTATGGTATAGCTCAATGGTAGAGCACTTGCCTAGCAGTGCAAGGCCCTGTGTTTAGTCCCTAGCACCCTTGGGGGTAGGGGGCTTTTGAAAATAGTATCTTGAAGTTCCTTAGACTTATTCTTAAGTGATTCTTGCTTTTGTTTTTATGCCAGATGAAACTGTAGTATCATTACATAACTTGAGAATTTTTTTTTTCCTTAAATGTTTTTTCTTTGGTTATTTAGGTGCTGAAAATCTTTAATATCTTATTTGTATTACTGGTTTAGTGTGTTAATCAAATTATATAAAGATGCATCTTTATGTCCCTTAAAGGAAATTAAAAGAGTAAATCTCTTTTTATAGACCATTTAAAAATATGTTTAATTACTTTGAGTGCTATACAAAACACAGTTTGGCAGTTGGGCTCTACCACATAACCTTTGCTTGGATTTTGCATTTAGGCATTTAAGAGTTGTTAATTGCAGAGACTGACTCCATTGTTGGCTAAATTATTAGAGTGAATGGTAGTTTTATAGAAGTCTTAAGGGTTTTTGGTGATTTTGTTTTGGGTTTTTGTTAATGACTGATGGTAATCATCTGGTGGACTTGGAACTACTTGGTCCTTTTATTTTTCTTGTTCATTTATTTGAAAGAACAAGCATGTGAAATGTTTAAAACATCTAATGTAAATTTTATTGGAGAAGATATTTGGTATGATTTATGAGTTTTTTAAGGTAGCATATTTTAGAGTGGTTCTCTACATTTGGAAATTTAAGGAAATAAAAGTACAAGAAGGAAAAAAAATTATGATTCTACTTTTATTTGGTATTTTTGTATAGACCTTTTCTAAGTGTTTATACTGCACATTCTTATTTTTCTTCAATAAAATCAGTGTCATGTGCGATATAGTACTCAATTAAATATATATATTGCTTTTTTTGCTAATGACTGATGTTCATATATACATATACGTCTGTATATTTAATTTAGCAACATGGATACCTTCAGAAGGCATTAAGTATTTTCAGTATCAGCTTTCAATTCCAAAATTTATCCCTCTGTGGATGTATTTTAGTTTTCGAGTGAATCCCCTCTTGTTAAAGGCTTGAAGAATAAGGAGCTACCCTTTAAAGGGCTGTACTGTGTGTGGTATTATTATGGGAGAGCCACTTTAAAGTGTGTTGAAAGGGGACTGTTCCTAAAGGGGGCTAAGAGAATGTTTGTTTACCATGTAAAGTGGAATCTCTGGGACACAGTAGAAAGAATTGAGGGTATGGAAACTGAGTCAGACAAAGATGTGAAAATTCATTAAGACTGAGGGTTTAGGGGCAAAATAGATGACCAAAGGGATGTTTATCTTTGATAGGATCAAAGATAATTGAATCTAAGCTGGGTGAGTTTATATGGTCACAAGGTTGACTAGATAATTGGTAGCTTTCTTGTAGATTTTGAGGAAAGAATGGTTGCAAAAAATACTGAATATACACTGGGTGTGATAATGTACACCTTTAAACTCAGCCCTGGGGAGGCAGAGGCAGGTAAATCTCTGTGAGATTGAGGCCAGCCTGGTCTAAATAGTGAGTTCCAGGCTCTGATGCATTCCTGAACCTGATGGCTTGGGGCAGTGGACACCCCTTTACTTCGAACTGGTTCTTTTAAACTAGCCTAGCCAACTGGGAAAGACTGTGAGGTCTGACCCCAGCCAATGAGGAAAAGACACAGTACTCTTGAGTGAGGAATAAAAGCCTATCAGCCTTCCAGGTCCTGTGTGCTGGATCTGACAGACCATGTAATTCACCCTTTTACAAAAGTAAATCTGCTTTGCCAGTTCCTTTCACTTTGTCCATGATCTTTGTGCGGTTTTGGAGGGGTCATTGGACATCAGATTTTATTTCTAACATTTTAAAGATATTTTACTCTGAAGTGCCTGGAAACCAAATAAATTTGGCCCACTCTTATTATCCCAGCACTTGGGAGGCTAAGGCAGGAGCATCATCACAAATCTGAAGTCAGCTTTGACTACATAGTGAGTTCTAGGTCTGTTGGGGCTATGGAGTGATAGACTGTCTCAAAAACCAAAACAACAGAATTTGAAACAGTAATAAACTTTGCCTTGAATTTGTCCTGCTTAAGGAAGAAGCCTGCATTTCTGATCGCTGGGCAGCCTCCTAGTTTCTACAGGGGAATCAGCTGTAGCTCATTATGAGACAGACAGTGTTTAACCTGGTGTTGTCCTGTAGTGCCTGTTTTGGTATATTAGCAAAGTGTGTCTGGAATCCTATTCTACTGCTTTCTACCGCTTTTCAGATAAGGTCAAACTTTTTAGAATAATTAGTGAGAATTTAAATGATCTGGACCCTGCACATTTAGATTTGATCATTAGGGTTTTGCTCAAACAACACTTTCACTTTCTTTCCTTCACACTTTTCATCCATCCTCTTGTCAGTCAGGTCTGTCATACTTCCAGATTGCTGGATATCTGTTTCTCACCACTGTACACTTTAAGCCTTGGTCCATATCTTCATCTTTCATGATGGCAGTAGCTCTTCATGAATCTTAGTGTGCTTTTCACTGTAGCTGCAGTAATCTTTCCAAAACATAAATTAGCACCATGTTCAGAAACCTCTTTAATATATTCCCATTACTGCTCAGTATCCAGATTTCTCAAGTCTGGCCCGTCATGATCTAGCTTCCACAAATGTCTCTGTTCTTTTACTCTATGATCTCTATTTCAGCTACAGCCATTGCTTGCTGTTCCTCAGATACATGAAGCTCTTTTTTGGGGTCTGAAGTAAACAGCTCCAGAACTTCATGGCTCATCGTTTAGCTATTGGCTAAAATGTCTGACCTCAGAGCAGCCTTCTGGTCCCCAATTCTACTAGCTGACTTTGTTTGCTTGATGGATTTGTTAGCATCTGAAATCATGTTTTTTAGTTGTTTGTCCGAGTAGACTGAAAAATTGAGTAGAGTTTACACTTTTGTCTACCCCCAGGATTTAGAATATTTAAAATGATCAGATTAGAAAATAAATCTGCAGTCTGA